GATCGAAATATCATGTTTTAGACTATGCAGGCTGGATCGCCTTAAGTCTGAGCAATTTAGCGATAGAGGCTGTTAACATGCGCTATCGGGACACGCAGCCGTTTTCGGATGCGTTGTGTGGGCTTGTTTTGGCTCAAAGGCTCACGGAGGAATAAGAAACAATCTTCTAGAGGAGCGGAACGGTTTGTCTCAAAATTGGAATTGAAGCTCTCCATTTTATGGTTTACTCCCAAAAAGGGTGTTATAAAAGGGCCCTAAGTAACAAGATTTAGGTCAATGACGAGACGGTGAAGCTGTCCAATTTCGACTTAGTTCGAGAGATTCGAATGCATAGCCCCTTAGGTTGATCGAAACCGCATTGGCATGGCCTGCTGCGTAACACACCCATGAAGGACGTTTTCTGGTTAGAAAACAATTTATTTAGACATTCCATAGCCATTTTGGCTGAAATATATTGCGCCCGTCTTGCGAGAGTTTGGCGATGTAAGAAACTCTGAGCCGCGGCCGATTGTTGCGATTAGCGGCGTTTTTCTAATGTTTTGAGTAATTAGTTTGGTTTTGTTTGCACCTAGGATATTTTCTGGTCGATTGTGTTTTTGTGTGCATTTGTAACAATTATGTATGTGGATGGATCTTTTGAGGTTAATAGTCTACGGGTCTATTCTTACCTTGCTTAGGCGATCGTTTTTTAGTAATTATGTGTTTACATATTGGATGGCATTTGAGACACATTTTTTGTTTATCGTAGTGCTATAGAAAGTACACTGAAGCGCTGCTGTTTTATAAACAACTCGCTTTTAGATATTTGGGTCTCTAGCTCAGTGCAGAATATAGTCGTTCGAAATGTTGTGCGTCTAAGGCAAAGGCTCGAGGGTATTGGGCCATCGAAAACCACGTAAGGCCCCATGTTCCTAATCTACCCTATCTTGGGGAATATATGTTTGATTGCCTCTGGTTACCATTCCTAAGGGTGTATAGCTCCGCTATGATACCGCTACGAGCTTCGCAGCTTCGAGTGGCAACCAAAATGAGCGCGACGTAGGCCCTTTTTTCCAGGCGTATCTGAGAGCGACCAGCCCGGCCCTCAGTGCATCTCGCGACCTGTTTTTGGAGAACCGAAGATTATACATTTTTTGATCATATGATAAAATATGTTGGTGCTTGAGTTGTAAAAAATATATTGTTGGCGCGGGCTTTATAAGATTTGTTCTGTTCTTGGCATACCTATTACGGCTTGGACCTTGGCTTTTGAGTGCCGGTTCATACGATATTTTAGAAAAAGTGTATGAAGCTTTATAATATCGTGTCTTTGTGGACGCATTGGTCTCGGTTTATGGGTTGTTTTTGATGGGCTGGAATATGTTAGAATTCTTTCTTATGATTGTTTTCTCTTTCTTGGCACCCGCCTTAATTTGCCTTTAATTGTTGGTTTGGATTGGTGGTTTGGGAATTGAACCCCTGGATTATGTTAAAGTTAAACGGGAAGTTTCTGTTTAAAACACTAATCCAAACCATTAATTAAAACTAATAATTGGGAGATTGTGTTACGTATTTCCGATGAATGTGTGTTGTGTCTCTGTGTCCGTGGCTGTTCTTTGGTGTGATCTTATCGGGCCGTTTTCAGCGACGTTAGCCTTTTTCCAGGCGCATCTGAGAGCGATTAGCCGGGCCCTCTGTGCATCTCGCGGCCCTCAGTGTATCTCGCGATTTATAGTTGGAGAATGGTATGCATTTCACATACGAAATTTTCGGAGAATCGTAGCTATCCAAAATATTCCGAAACCGCTTTTCGTCAAGCATTTGCTCGGTTTGTTTGTTTATTTTTCTTTGTGCATTAGTTGGGTTTTTCTCTCTATGTTTTGATTTTGCTACTTTCCTGCTATGGGCTTCATCTCGCACGCTGCTGGAAAGTAGCGGGTCCCCACTAATTATTATATTATTAATATATATATAAGTAATGTATTTTAAGCAAATATATAATAAGAATAGGTGTATAAATGTGCAATATATATAATTAAGTATTAGAATTTAAAATAATTGGATATTGTATTATTTTAATAATTTTATAACTATTTTTAATTTTGTTAATTAAATTTAAAAATATATAATTAAAAGAATAGTATTTTAAATATAATTGAATTATTAAAATATATTATAGTTATTGGTTTATTATATTTGTATAGAATAATAAAGAATTTATATATTTATTATGCTTTAAAAAATCTAATATAATTATATAAATACAGTAAATTTAATTTATATATAATATGAGAATTAATAATTTAGAAATTATTTTAAGTAAAAAATATTTTGTATTATATATATTATAATTATTGTGTTTTATATGAATATTTTATATGAATTATTATATTTATATTATAAATGATTTAATTGAAATAATTGAAATATAAAATGAAATCTTTGAAAAAATATAGGATTTATTAAATATGATTAATTCGTCAAAAATTAATTTGAAGTATTGAATAGAAATTTAAAAATCGAAGTTGGAAAATAATTTCTGAATTATTTTATATATGTTTATTCATAAAATTTATTATTAGGTAGAATATTAATGAAAGATACCGATTAATAATATAGAATTCTTTAATTATATAACATTTTTTTTTTCATTATAATCTCTGCTATCACTTCCCCTTCCCAATATAGCGCTTAGATTTAGATACAAATCCGTAACGTGCCCTCCCTTGTTTTAATCGTCCGAACCAATCTAACCCCAAATCAAGGGAGTATGACAAGACCGCCTCTAATTTGTGACAATTATGATGAAAAGGTTTCGATAATTATATTCTTATTTTAAAAGGAAAAATTGCAAAAAGGCACCGTTTATCATGCATTCACTCCCTAATAATTTCCGTGGCTTGGCCTTTATGCTTCTCCGGAATCATATCCAATAATTATGTCCCGATTTTCATTTGTTTCAGCAAATCTGCTCTATTATTCTCATTAAAGAAATGATACGATTAGTTATTTCACCAAAATTATTATTTTCCTCCTTCATTTCTTTCTATTCCTCAATGATATATTTGGCCTATTAATCACTTTATCCTTTGCCTTATTAATAGTATCCTTCTCGAGATCCATACATTAAATGCTCCAAGCTTCTAAAAGAGATACTCTATCAAGGCCTCAACGTTCCTCTAAAGCATTATCAAGCCCAGCAGCTCCAAGGTATTGCCGATTTGGAATATATGAAAACAAACAACGATTTCAATCAAATACAATGAATGTTTTACTATATCTATTAATTATATTTATTTAATAATATTTCCATAACACAAATATAGTATTATGGTATTCATTTCTATTATAATTATAATCATTTCAATATAAATAATAAATCATTAAATTAATATATTAATTCATATATAAATAATAAAATAAATCAATCAAAACAAATAAATAAATCAGATCAAACAAACATAAATTCAATCAAATCAAATCAAATAATTAATCAATAATAAATCAATAATCAATTAAATCAAATCAATTCAAATCAATTTCCAATTAATTCCAAATCAATTCCAATCAATTCCAATCAATTCCAATCAATTCCAATCAATTCCAATCAATTCCAATCAATTCCAATCAATTCCAATCAATTCCAATCAATTCCAATCAATTCCAATCAATTCCAATCAATTCCAATCAATTGCCATGAATTCCAATAAATTCCAATAAATTCCAATCAATTCCAATGAAATCCAATAAATTGCAATCAATATCTTCTTTCTTCTTTCTTCCTCCTTCCTTCTGTCTCTCTCTCTTTCTTTCTCCTTCTTATATATTTCTTTCTTTCTCTTTCTCGATCTCTTTCGTTCTTATGTTTTCTTGTTCTCTTTCTTTTTGTCTTGTTTCTTTCTCGTTCCTTCTTTCATTCTTTTTTTCAGTCTCTTTGTTTTCTCTTTTTCTCTTTCTATTTCTCTCCCTCTCCCTCTCCCTCTCCTTCGTTCTCTTTCTTTTTCTATCTCCTTCTCTCTTTTTTACAAGCCGGAGTTACGAGAATATAATTTACAAATTATTTTCCTATTTTTCCTATACAATGCCGGAATCATAACTGTGGTTTATATATTATATTTTCATTTAACAAAAGCCACAGCGAGAACAATCCAATACGCACAATCTCTACAAAGGATTCGGTAAAATTAAAAATTCGCTCGTCGGCGAATTTTATACAATCTCCATAAAAAAAATGCATCGACATCTTTAAAAAAACAAACAACCAATAATTATATATAAATATATAAAAATTAAATTATATATATCAAACTATGTAAAATAAATTATATAAATCAAATTATATATTGTTTGTAATTTATATATAGTTTTATTAATAATTAATACCAATATAATATTAATAATATTTTTTAAATATGTTTTTCAATTTTATAATATCCTTCTATAATAAATTCAAAAACAAAACAAAAAAAAATATATATCAATATTATTATATTATTTCTATATTTAATTAAAAAACAAAAAAAAGAAATTATATCAATATTGTTATATTGTATTTTACTAATTCTTGTTTGTTGTATTGTCCAATATCATTCTTCGTGTTCTTCAGCCGGCGTTTTGCCCAGGTCAAAGGCGGATCCCTAAAGGCGTTCATGCATCTTCCTCGCTTGTTCAATTGCATGAAAGAGAAAGAGTTCAAGATAACAAAAAATATTTAAGAAACAAAAAAAAACTTCAATAAGGCAAGTTTGGCCCAAGTTACAACCAAGGCGCGTGGAAGCACCAGACCCAGCTCACACGCCAAGCAATTGATTTGTCCAGGCCAGCTTGAACATGATCCTCAAAGGTGTGTTGGACTTCATTGAGCGTCGCTGGCCACCCAAAAATGATTCGTCCAAAGCCCGAAGGCGGGTGTCGCCTCTGAGCTGCTCTGTACCTTCTTGCACACAGAATCCGATAGTTGCCCCTGCTCTCACGTCGCGCTCTGCACCTCCGCGCTGCACATTGGTTGGTTCCCTCCATTGTCAGGTGAAGTACCGGCCCAGGGCACCGAGTGACAGCGTGGAGTCCTCCAGCTGCGCAGCCAGCCTTCTCATCGCAGCCTCTGCCGTCACCTCCCCTTCCCACTGCGGCGGTTGGATTTGGACACAAATCCGCAACGCACCCTCCTCTGCTCCGATCACCCCGAGCCGATCCAGCCCCAATTCAAGGGAGCGCGACAAGACCTCCTCCAGCTTGTGGCAGTCATCGCGGTGCAAAGGCTTCGACAATTGTACTGTTGCCTGGGCCTTCTTAGAAAAACTGGACAAAGGCACCGCTTGTCGTGCACTCGCTCCCTGATATCTTCCACGACTTGGCCTTTGTGCTTCCTCCGGGGCCTTGTCCAATGACTGCGCCCCGACTAACATTTGCTGCAGTACCTCTTCTCTGACAGTCTCACCAAAAGAAATGACGCGATCATTCACTTCACCAAGATTGCGGTTCTCCTCTTTCATTTCTCTCTGATCTTCAGTGATATGTTCGGCCCAACCAGTCGCCTTATCCTTTGCCTTGTTGGTACCATCCCTCTCGCTCAGGTCACCCGGATGAAGCCACTGCTGCACCGCCAGCGCTGCAACACTTCCGGTCCGTGCTCCAAGTGCTCCAAGCTTCTGAAGGAGATACTCTGCCAGGGCCTCAACGTCCTGCCGCAAAAAGGGGCCCAAGGATCTCAGAAGCACCGTCAAACCCAGCAGATCCAAGGTGCCGTCCGACTTGGAGTAGGCGGAGACAAAGGTCGCATCTGAGCATTGGTTGCGGCGGTACTCCTCGAGCACTTGAGCTTCTAAATGTCTCAGCTTCGCAACACGGGCAGTCCGCCTCTCCGCACAGCATCTAAAAAGCCGCGTGAAGTGGGCTGCTGGAAGCGCAGAGTCTGTACAAAGCGACTGGAAAACTGACTCAAGTGTGTTCCAGCCCAGCTGGACACCGCGAATCCTCAAAATGCGCGCCATGTCCTGGCGCTGCAGCTTGATGGGAGCTGCCACATCTAGGAAGTCCAGACCCACAGAAGCGCACTCGTCCCCCACTTCTGCCACCAGACCATCGGCACTGCGCTGCACAGCTTGCAGGGTGGCCATGAGTGCCGCCCAAGCCTCGGGACCCTCAAAGGCTTGGGAAATTGCTACAGCCTCTCTGGACGTCAAAGAGGGCGCACAACTCCGGAGCGTTGCCTCTGTCAGAGCCAGCTCGCTGTCCAACTCTTCCAGGTGGCAAGCAAGGAGCAGAAGGCCGCTGACACGATCTTCCTCTCTTTGCTCTGACTGCACATTTGACGTCTCCATCGCGAGCAGAATTGGCTGCAAGCCGGCCTGCATAAGAACCTCCACCTTCCCAACCCTCCTGTCTGTGGCGACTGCTTGGATGTCCAAGTGTGCTTCTAGCAGCTTCTCCACACCACCACAATTGATGTTCTGCAAAGCATCTGCCTTCAGCTGCGGCAGCACCAGCTTGACGAGGCCGCACAGCTCTGCACCCTGCCAAATCTGCACGAAGATGCACGAAAAGGTCGGTTCCGTGCCGTCTCCCTTCCAAATGCTCGAGGAAGAGACGACCGCTTGCCCGAAAACCCCAGCGCGCGCCGGCATGGCCATCTCTTGCGTTGGGCCCAGCTTCAGGACAGCACGGAGCTCTGCTGCCTCCATTCCAATGGAGCCAAGCCAAATCCGAAGATGGATCCCAGAGTCACCTCGGCTGGGCGTGCAGCAGATTGTGCTGGCTAGCTGATGTTCGGACTCCCTGGATCCAAGTTGCTGCTGTGTTGCCCTGCATCGGCCACTTCGTGGATGCCTGCTGAGCCCAGCAAACCAGGAGCTTTGACTCTTCTACCGACTAAAGCGAGGCCTGAGCTGTTGGTGAGCTCAAGGGACAAGTGTAAGCGACCAACCAAGGTGCTCTTGCCTGCGAAAGCAGAGACTCATGGCGCTGATGCAAAAGGTCTCCGCAGAAAGCTCTAGACTTCTTTCTGCAGTCTGTGTTATCCGTTCCTATGAGGGGCCTGTGTTCACGGCACGCAGCTCGGCAGTGAATGGGCACGCAGTCCCTGGCTCAAGCAGTGCCTGGGGCGCATCAGCTCCCGTCCCCTTGGTAGCGTTGGGCCCCGGCCGCAAACCACAGCAGCTCTGCCTGGGTTGGCTGATGCCAAGGCCCCCAAACGCGGGTTGCCCGGTTGCCCCAAGCGCACCAAACTCATCCAAAATATTCCAAAATCCCACAGACGCACCTCTGCCACAGGATGAAGGGCTTGTCCTGCCAGATTGCGGCGAACACGCTTGTAAAAGTTTGAACGAAGAACTGACGACGCGGAGCTCCTTTGGGTGCTGCGTGCCCTCGTGCAGCTTTTGATGTCAGCAGGCCCAGCCGCAACCTGGCAGCGTGGCACACTGAGCAAGCGTGTCTACACTAATCTACACGAGTAGCCGACGGTTGAGTCGCCACTTCACGCCAGTCTGCTGGCCTCTGCACAATGCTGCTTGCTTGCAACAAGCAAGTGCTGAAGGTGCGGGCTCTGCTTTGCGCACATGCGAGGAGTGCTGGATCTCAACGTTGCCTCGAATACGACTCGAGCCCGAACCAAAATAATCTGGCACCAGCAACCAACCCAAGCAGCTCACTGTCCCCCTGGCAGCGAAGAAGAACTTCTTCCACAGGCTCTCCTCGTTTGTCACCTTTGCTCTTAACAAGTGCAACATGCAAAAACTCAGTGAAGCACACCTAAAGCGATGCGGCACTGAAGCCAAAGTCCATCAGAGTCCCTGCAAGATGGTGTGAGTGCACACGCTTTTGATTGAGAAAGCCGGCCTGGTCTGACGAAGTCCCAAAGAAGTCAACTCGAGTCTCCGAAACTGAAGGCGGAGTCCATCGAAGTCTGTTGCAGAAGCAGCAGTTCATGCGCTGGTGTCCCCAACTGTCCAACTTCTGAAGAAGGCCTTCAAGTAATTGGGCCGCTGGCTTTGTAGGCACCGCAGACTCCTTTGTCACCTTAGCATGAAAACCAAGCACTCTGGACTGCCAGCGATCCTCTTGCCTCGACAGCTGCTGGAGCTGGCACTTCGAGAGCAGGAGCAACCGAATCCTTCTCCTCGTTGCTCGATGCGACTTTGGCACCTCCCAGTACGCCCAATTGCAAGACAACCTCCGCAAGCAAGCGCCTGCGCACATAGGATCCTCTGCCAGAATGAGCTCTAGCTCCGCCACTGCTCGATTTGATAGCCTCAATGCTCCAACCGCATCACTGTCTCCTCCCTCACTTGACACGAGCAAATGACCGCAGCAAGAACGGTCCCATTTTGCTCTTCAATCCACTTCTGGCAGCAATGGGACCATGGCATGGTCCACGACGGCGCCGCTTTGCAGATCGCCAATCCATGGCTCAAAGGACACGGCATCTTCCGCGTCAGATCTGCTCGACAGCAGGCGCGCGCCCTCCGCCACGAAGCCAAGAGTCCATGCCAGGCGAACCGGACCCGTCGAAGGGATGGCTGCGGCAGAGTGCAGCGTCCAACCGTGGTGGATGCTGGCATCGCCCGGACAAATGCTTCCGGTGCCTAAGGATCCCATTGCAAAATACGTTTCAGTCTTCCAGCCTCGTGCTATTTGGATTAAGCTTCAGGCGAGTGATCCTGTATCTGCCGGTCAAGTCTTGGTCCAGATCCCCGTAGAAGTGCAAGGCAAAATCTCTGTGGCTGCCAACTGCGTAGACCAAGGAAGATCCTCTTGCTGGAACAGGCGTCAATGGAAGCCAAATAGTGAGAAAGCCTAAGGGCAAAGACCAATCGATGCACCGCATGTCATGCATATGTGCTGCGACAAACACATGCAACTTATAGCTGCAAGGTGCTGTTGGTGTCAAAGGGCGCCAAACCGAGATCCGAATGCCAATCTGTAGCCCCATCTCCTAAATTGGCTAGAGGCAAGCGCCCTACTTCATCTTTGTGAGACCACGAGAAGTTAAGCCTGCGGCCAGGTCTCTTCACAAAGAGCGCATCCTGATAGAGACCTGACTACGTGACCATCAAGCCCCACCCATTGCCGTCCCTCAGCTCCAGGCGGACACGAGGGACGCCCAGAAGCCGCGTCGCCCAGAAGGAAAAGCGCGGTGATAAGGCCAGTTTCTGGAGTTTTTGGCTTTGACGATGCAGGTTGAAAT